AATGCGAAGGCTAGACTTGAACTGCTGAAGCATCGGCCATTTCTGGCCAGCAACTTTCAGCGTCATTAAGCCGCTGCGCCACCATGTCCATAGCTCTTTCTAAACTCTTGCATTCCATTTATTCTAACATGAATATAGATATTCCTGCCTGCATTTCATCTATCAAAATATGAATACCTTAGCCAATAGGTATGTAATGCAACTTTCCAAGTCTGTATGCATTATGTATGGTATGTGTAAGAGATAATAAAACATTGTGTTTTTCAAGATGTAGGCATCTGTTTTTGCAGGACAGTTCCAATAGCCACTGTTAAGAAGCTTTAGTAAAGCGTCTCTGTATTTGTTGGTATTCTTTAATTGGCTAAAGGAATAATTTTTCCACAACACTACAAATCTGGGAGATTATGGTGTCATTTAGTGACTATTCTTCTCTGAGTTTACCTCTTTCTGCTGCTAGAGAATATGTGCTGTCATTACTAAAGTCTCCAGTCACCAATTCCATGACCGCCTCCAGCATAAGAAAAGTTGAAATGTTGCTCTCTAGTCAAAAGGAAGCCAAGTATTTTCTGCAATATCTGTTTCTCTCTGTTGCTGATAAGTACTTCTTTTAATGTTTACTGTCTACCACCATTGCATCAAATTCATCACCCCAAATTCCTTCTTACAAAGAGCTGGACTGTCAGATTAGTTCTAGACTGACGATTGACTTGCTAACGTCTCAACCATAAATCTTAGCACACTAGTACTCCAGCTGCCTTAAACCAGACTGAAAACTGAAGACTGTCTGAAGTTGAATCACCGATCAATTTAGCTGTTTCAATAAATTTACTGAATGCCTCCTTTATGGTACTTAAAATCTAAAGACAACTCCAACACCTTAAATGCCCCCAAATTCATAGCTCTAGAGATTACAAAGGTGATTGCCCAGGTTCTAATGCCGAAGGCTGCCGCTTTGTAAACCCATTTTAATGTTCTACCTGCCTGACCATCTATATAGGATCTAGAAGACCCTTGCTTCCTCCTACAGGTTGAACAGTGAAAAGAATCCCAAGTCTTTGCAGAGAAGCTACAATTTTTTAGCCAGAGAGGGAAAAGCCTTATATTTAGTATGGTCAGCATTTCTTTATCACTTCAGCAAATTCCACTAGAAATGGAATCTTTAGATCAACACTGGACATTTAAAAAAACAGACCCCTGTTGAGTATTGTATTCCTTGAGTTTCTTTGTCTGCAAGTGTGGAGGCAATCAAATTGCTTCTGCTAATTTTATATCAAAGCTGGTTACCCATCAGTGTTAATAGTCTTTCACAGCCCCCTCAAATTCTTCCATTGAAGCTTGACCCTTTTCGAGTCAGAGACTGCAAAAAAATGGCTAATAAAATGCCAAGGATTCCTATGCTAACCTGAGTTTTCTAACTTACATTGACAATGGAAAGCTAAAGCAGGTACAAAGAAATTAACCTAACAGTCACTGCATAATAAT